CTTTCCCCCATTGAGATTCGTGCTCCATTCTGCTCTTTCCTTTCAATGAGTCTGTTAGTTTGTCCGTTAATGTTAGTTCCTGTAATTTTATTAAACAGTCCTCCACCAAAGGTTCCTCCTTGTCTTTCCATTGTTTTGTCGGTTGAATTCTGGCTGCGCCTAGAAAGGTTGAGAGGTGCTGATGTCTGACGCATGCAGATGATAAATATAAAAACAGAGAGGGAGAGAGGCTCTGGATAAGTATTTAGATGGTATGTGTGAGCCAGAAACGTGAATCTCAATGCTCCCCTCCCTCCCTCCTTTCCTGTACTCAGTTTTGGGGAAAGTGTGGGTGCCTATGCTGGTTGAGGATGATGGGCATTTTATTATTAATAGAGATGGGCACAAACTGGAAAAAATGACAAATTGAGCTGGTTTGTTTTTCGTGGCTGACCATGAACCACTACAGCCCCCCCAAAAAAAACACAAACTATGAACTGGAAAAAAGGATAAATTGAGCTGGTTTGTTTTTCATGGCCGACCATGAACCACTACAGCCCCCCCCAAAAAAAACACAAACTGGTTTATAGTAGTTTTTATGGTTCATGCCAGGGGAGGGGGGGAGGGACCCACCTGCTCCTGCCCTCTGCCACCTACCCGCCCCCTTCCCATTGCCCTCCCCATCACCTCTCTACCTGGTCCTTCTGCCACCTCCTCCTCCATGGCCACCATCATCAGAGGCATCAGGCTCAGCCTCCCTTCCCAGAGCTGGCCTGCGGTTTTTGCACATGTGCTCACTGCCCAGCTGGTCGCTAGGTGCCTGTCCAGAGGTGTTGGGCCTGGCTCTTGAGGAGCCAGCCTGCTGCCTCTGTGCAGGTGCCCACCTGTCAACAGAGCCATGGATGGGGCCAGCTTCCATGCAAGGAGCCTGGCCTGCTGCGTCTCAGGATGGCAACAGTGGCGACAACATCAGGACCAAGTAGGTGGGCATCCCGTTTTGCCAAAGCAAAACAAAGCATGGGGGCGGAGGGGGGCGGGCAAAGTTTGGCACTTTGTTTTGTTTTGGCAGGGGGCGGGGGGCGGTCAAAGTTTGGCACTTTGTTTTGTTTTGGCAAAACGGGATTCTTGAATGGGATCACAAACCGAACTACACACCAGCCCAGTCTGTGGGTTTTTCTGGTTCGTCATTCACTTTGTACCCACCTCTAATTATAACACATAAAGAGGACATAAAGATGGGGAAGCCGGATGTAAAGACCTATGTTTGAATGTCTGCATAGGGCTACCCAAGCTGTGGATCTGACTATCCGTATACTTGGGGAATTAACCTTGATTGCTTTAGGGACCCTCAGACTAGCTCCATTCTCTCCTTCTCTTTCCTCCTTGTATTTTTCTTTACCTTCGTTTTTGGAAGTATGGGAATTCACATGTTGATCAGTTAGGTTTTCCTTGGGGTACCAGGGCTTGAAAACTGGGATATGGGTGGCTCCAGAAAGTTAATTGAAAAAGCATTTGGTAAATGCTCATTTTGCAAATGATGTTTGCAAGGTGGGAAAGCAAAGATGAACACATATTAAAATTACAGACTAAAGAGGCAGAATCCCCATTTTCTTTTGATTCCATGAGCTGTATTTGAGTGAAAGTATTCCTAGGCTGATCTATAGATGGAGTAGATGGGTTGGGGAACAATCAGCTAGTTTGGAAGAAGGCAGGGATCAGCCAGTTCGGTAGCTTCTAGGGGCAAGATTGAGCCTTTGGGTTCTTTGCTGCCCATGATATCCTTACAAAGAAAAACATGAACCTTTCCCGTATCCCACGTCCTTCCTGGCTGCTGGACTGTAGGAGAGGCTTCTCTAAGGTGGAGTTAAAAAATGGAATCTGCAACAAAATGTTGCAGAGTGCCATGATCCTCTTCAGAGCTTTGCCGAGATAGTGCAAGTCATGCCTTTTTCTTGGGATACCCCACTCTCTCCCCTCCTTGCAACCAAGAGTCATGTGGGTAGGGGGGGGAGCACACATTCATGAGCATAATAGGAGGGAACACTAAGATTGGTCCCCTATTGTAGCGTCTTCCCTTCCTCACAGTTGCATTCTACCATGGTGATAAGATTGCTCAATGTCCGTCATCTCGAGCATCACTGGGTGTGTGCTGAGTAGTTACAGCCTTCCTCTACCAGCAGGGGGAGGGATTGGGTCGTTCTTGCATCGAACATGCCTTGCTCATAAAAATAGCAAACCTCTTGGTGGTGAACAAAATGAGGTTTTAGTGTTTTTTCACACCCATTAACTAGGTTTTTAGTTTCTGTTCTCTGCCTGATCTGGTAGCAAAAATCAAATCAAATCAAACCCACCTAAATATGTCGACAGAGCAGGAAGCTCGGTGTTGAATCTTCGATTTTCTCTTCTTTTCTTTTCTTCACTTTCCTTTTCTTTTGGTTTTGTTTCCAGGACGGGTGAACCCGATGAGGAAGAAGGAACCCTGCGCAACTCAATCCGACGTAAGATCCAGCCCATTTCTACCATGCATCTTTCCTTTCCCCAGTTAGACCACCTACCTTTTTCTTAAAATGGATAACTAAAAACGTATTAAGAAGTGAAACTAAATCTTCCTCGGTATCAATGGTTCCCAACCTTGGGTCCCCAGATGTTCTTGGACTAGAACTCCCAGAAGCCTTCACCACCACCTCCGCTGGCCAGGATTTCTGGGAGTTGTAGTCCAAGAACATCTGGGGACCCAAGGTGGGGAAGCACTGATCTACATCATATGCAGGTTTTATGTGAACAGGGATGCACATGCACCAAACATCTCTCCCCTATTTTGGGAGGCAGGGACATATCCATGACAAACTGAAGACAATAAAGTCTATTAGTTGTCCTCAGAACTTGGAAAAATTACTTTCTTGAGTACAAATCCTGGAGTCCTCTAATCAGCATGGTTGCTATTGGGGATTCTGGGAATGGTAGTCTTGAAAAAGTACATCCAGCTATGGATGCTCTTGAAAAGACTCAGTGATCAAAGTGAAGTGTGTTGAGCCAATAAGGAGAATAAGACAAGAAAATAGATTTCTAGTTCAAACAATGGATCAATGAAACAGTTGTCAAAATAAAGATGCCTTTGGAGTAACACTGACCTTTACTATGGGAATCGTTTCTGTTCTGCGTCATGGTAGCACACTCATTGGGTCTATTAGATCATGTATTCTGGAACAAGATAAGATGTCAACCTGGTTTGGTGTCTCCTATAATTGCCACTGGAGGGGACAAACTGTCCCAGCTGGAGTGATATGTATTAGCAGAAGGAAAGAATTTGTCCTTCCAAGGAACTATATCCATTTCTTTTAAAAAAATAATCCTTTTTCTCATTCCTCACTAGGTTTATCCACCAGGATGAGATAGAAGATCAAGATAGGTGAGTAGCTTGTAGAATATGCCAACAAAATGGAAGAGCAAGGCTGTTAGAGGTGTAAATCCTGACCTGGTTTGTCTTGACATCTGAAATGTGAAACTATAAAATAAAAACAAAACAATCTTGCTGAGATGGCAAGACTTTTTGCAAATTTTGGAAAGAATTTGCTCCCTTGCAGGACTGACTTTTGTGCATTTCAGCATGTGCACAAATTTTGAAGTCAGGATAATTGCTGTCTTGTTGCCTGGACTGCTGCAAGCAGGAACATGGAAGGGGTTGTTTGTATCTTCCACTCAAGCAGACAATCCTTTTGTACTTAATATATATGTATACAGCACTTTTGTTTTCTCCCCAAATGTAGCTCTTATCTTTTGGGGGTTGTCTTCAAGTTTCTCCTACATGTCTCACTTGCTTCTTTCTCTTATTTTTTCTCTCTCTCCTCCAGGCTGCACCCAGCATGCTGTTCTTCTAGGATCCAGATGATTCCCTCCCCTGCACTGCACTGCACAGCCTTAGCCCCCACCCCAAAAAGAACTCCTGTCTCTTGCATTGAAACCGCCCAAGTGCAGGCCTAATGTCTCTGTGCTAAGTCCACCCAAGCGGAGTCCCACGTCCTGGAAGTCTTCCCTCCCAGGCTTAAACTTTCTGCTTAAATCAAGATAGGTGAGTAGCTTGTGGAATATTCCAACAAAATGGAAGCACAAGGCTGTTAGAGGTGTAAATCCTGAGCTGGTTTGTCTTCCCATCTGAAATGTGAAACTGTAAAATAAAAACAAAACAATCTTGCTGAGATGGCAAGACTTTTTGCAAATTTTGGAAAGAATTTGCTCACTTGCAGGACTGACTTTCGTGCATTTCAGCATGTGCACAAATTTTGAAGTCAGGATAATTGCTGTCTTGTTGCCTGGACTGTTGCAAGCAGGAACACGGAAGGGGTTGTTTGTATCATTCCGCTTAAGCAGACAATCCTTTTGTACTTGATGTATATGTATACTTTGTTTTCTCCCCAAATGTAGCTCTTATCTTTTGGGGGTTGTCTTCAAGTTTCTCCAACATGTCTCACTTGCTTCTTTCTCTTCTTTTCTCTCTCTCTCCTCCAGGCTGCACCCAGCGTGCCGTTCTTCTAGAATCCAGATGATTCCCTCCCCTGCACTGCACTGCACAGCCTTAGCCCCCACCCCAAAAAGAACTCCTGTCTCTTGCGTTGAAACCGCCCAAGTGCAGGCCTAATGTCTCTGTGCTAAGTCCACCCAAGCGGAGTCCCACGTCCTGGAAGTCTTCCCTCCCAGGCTTAAACTTTCTGCTTCCGGTTTGCTCCTTCCCTGTCCTTGCAGAGAGAGAGAGAGAGAGTTGTGGTGGAGCCCTTTTAATTAAGCTTAGGTCTAGTGCTGAACCATGGGAAATGCTATGACTCTATTCCCAAACTTGTTACACTCATGCTATTCTTACTGGCCTTTCCAAGACACAGTGAAGTAAGTGGTGCCTCGCTTAGCGATCGCTCCTAAAATAAATCATCTTCAGACCCATTTTTGTTGGCTGGAGAGATCAGGGGTTTAGATCTCTGGCTGTGCATCCAGAGTTTAGGAGTTTGATTCTTCACGGTGTCTCCTGTGAGCAGAGCCAGCCTCTGTAGCTTTGGGTGAGCTGCACAGTCCCGGGGCACCCTCCAGAAGAAGGGAATGGCCAATCACCTCTGAGTAGTCTCTACCTAGAAAACTTTGCAGAGGGTCACCAAAAGTCAGAATTGACTAAATGGCACATTATTATTATTATTATTGTTAAAGACTGACTTTCTGCCTCAATTAAAAAGGAAGTGATGAGAGTCCTGGGTCTCTCCGCTGAATGATGACCCAGTGGGAGGGATAAGATTGCCAGGTCAGCACCAGCCCGTTCTATGAGAATCTGAGCCAAATTTGGAGGGTTTGTCTCAGGAACCTTGTGATGGAGCAGGAACTGCAGAATTGCAGAAGATGTGTGCGAGGTAGGGAGAGAGAGAAGAAGAAAAAAAAAGGTCCTACGTGGAGAGACTGAATGAAAAATTTAAATATGTGAAATGTCAGTATCAGGAGAAGTTCTGAGAGCATGCCAGATAATGAAAAAGACTAAGACACTGATAAATAATAGAGTCCTAACTGTGCGCTCCAGAAGCCATGATTTTGTAATTTCCCCAGGCCCTGTTGGTTGCCTTTAGCAGCTGGAGACAGGACCAGGGTGAGAAATGCTCCTTTTGTACTTCCCTGCTCAGAGTGTGGGTTTGCAGCTCTGCCAAATGGACAAAAATATGCACTGATCAAAGGGTGGGGGTGGGAGAGTCTTCTGGTATTATGAAGAATAAGCTGCTCGAATCAGCCTTCACCAATCTGTTGTGCTTCATACTTGTTGGATGACAACGCCCATCACTGGTGGGGTGTCTGCAATGGATCTGGACACTGCTAGAGTGGTCAAGACCCATCTAGACCAAGGAGGGAGCAAACGTTGTGATGCATGTGACCCCTGTGGGTATCTGCAGATCCCCTGAAAATAGTGGGGAGATTATTATATTTATACAGGAAATCATATATATTGGGATTTCCTAGAGGGGCATGTTGGGGTTGAGATGGTGAGGTGTTGAAGGTGGGGCAACCCCACAAGGTCCAGGGCTGGGCAAAAATGACTTCTGCCCACATTTTGTCTAGATCTCAATTTTAAAATCCAGAAAAGTATATAGTGTCCAGAATCCTGTTGTTTTACATCAGTCGTTCTTAACCTTTGTTACTCGGATGTTTTTGAACTGCAACTCCCAGAAACCCCAGCCAGCACAGTTGGTGGTGAAGGCTTCTGGGACTTGCAGTCCAAAACTCCTAAAAGTATATAGTGTCCAGAATCCTGTTGTTCTACATGACCATGGAATGTCATTGTGCAGGTGAATCTACCTGTCCTGAAAGCTGTACGTCCTTCTCCTAGGCCTTCTTCAGCCATGCAATTGATCATGTGATGGACAGCCAGCAAAAGGGGGGGGGACCCTCCTTGCATGATTTTTTCTTATGCATGCGGTTCTCCTCAATAGGATTTTGGCCAGAGATTTCTGGGAGGGTGGAAAGAATGCAACCCTGGCCCTGTAAGCCATCATCCCACCCAATTCACTTTTTGGTCAGTGCAGGATAAACAGCTATTATGCACATCATCTTGTTGGCTTACATCATGGGCAACTTATGGCCACCCAGATGTTCCTGGATTGCAGCTCTCACCAGCAATAGTTGACATAGCCTGTGGTCAACAATGATGGGAATTGTAGTCCAGCAACATATGGAGGGTCACAAGTTGTCCAATCCTTGCTTATACCTTTCCTTGTAGCATAGGCATACTTTTTTTGTAGCTAGATCTAAAGTCCCATGCTAATTGGGAATCTGATCAAATCTGTTATGTGGCATCAAGTCGCTTCCAACTTACAGTGATCCTGTGAATGAACCATCTCCAAAATGTCCCGTCCTCAACAGCCTTGCCCAGCTCTTGTAGACTCAAGCCTGTGGGTTCCTTTAGGGAGTCAACCCTCTCATATTTGGGCTTCCTCATTTCCTGCTGCCTTCAACTTTTCCCAGCATTATTGCCCTTTCCAGAAAATCTTGCCTTTTCATGATGTGCCTAAAGTAGGGCAGCCTCAGCTTCAACATGTTTGTCTCCAGAGATCGTTCAGGCTTGATTTTGACCTAGGACCCACTTATTCCTCTTTCTAGCAGTCCAAAGTATCCTCAGAGCTCTCCTGCAGCACTGCATTTCAAATGAATCTGTTTTTTCATGTCAACGTCCTGCTGCTTGTCATGCTTTGAAAATCTGAAAAGTGCCTTTCCCCCCATTCTCCATATACTCTAGTCATCTCATCTTGAGCAGTTTGGTTTGTCTCCAGCAGAGGGTGGCACTAACATTCACCTGCTAAAAGTCAGTCCAGCTGTGCAAAAGCTCAGCGTTACTCTCTAAGCTGCCAAAACTAGTGCTTCGCCTTGTTCCCATGGGGGCGCGAATGCCATCTAGAGCAGTGGTCCCCAGCCTCCAGATGTTCTTGGACTTCAACTCCCAGAAATCCTGGCCAGTAGTGGTGGCGGTGAAGGCTTCTGGGAGTTGTAGTTCAAGAACATCTGGAGGCCCAAGGTTGGGGACCACTGACCTAGAGGAACCACAAACTCATGTTTTTGCTGACTTCCTTTGTACATTTCTGAACTTTGTGAACTGACAGGTGACTTCTGCAACATTAAAATGCTACTTTCTCCAACTGTGTGAGATGCCGGCTGTTGCTGTTGAGTGTGAGCACGTGAGCAAGGATACAAAGAGATGTGTGATCTTGTTAGGATTGGTGGGTTGTTGCTGCATCCAGCATGGGGTGGGATGTGTGGCTATTGAACAGAAATGCCTCATCTGAGAGCTGGATGTTAGGCAAAAGGTTCTGCATGATTCTAAAGGAATTCCATTGAGACAGTGCAGGAGGAAAGATTCATAAAGGTGAGTGCAGAACCTAAGTGCAGAATCGGCTTCCATGTCTGCACATCTGGATCTCCACCAAGCTGGAGGAACAAGAAACAACAGGAAGGCAACAGGAACTCCTTGCCGGGAGTTTTGAAGAACAAGCTGAAGACTTGGTTCTTCAGGCAGGCCTTCTCCTCTTCTATTTCTTAATTCCCTGCATCTTACCATCTTGGTCTTTCCTTATCTCTATGTTGTCTGATATTGTTTGTTTTAAATTTTGTTTTATATTTGGAATGTAAGCCGCCCAGAGTAGATTCATTGAATTTAGATGGGCAGGGCAAAAGCTGGAAAAATAAATAGGTAGGTAGGTAGGTAGGTAGGTAGGTAGGTAGGTAGGTAGGTAGGTAGGTAGGTAGGTAGGTAGGTAGGTAGGTAGGTAGGTAGGTAGGTAGAATAGATAGAATAGATAGAATAGATAGAATAGAATAGATAGAATAGAATAGATAGAATAGATAGAATAAATAAGTAAATAAATACGTTACTTTAGAGAAGGGAGG